CAGCATCTTGGCTGAGATTCACTTCAACTTCTGTGAAATCTTAGTCAAAACTTTCAGTGTGTCCCAAGCCTTGTGGGCCAGGCACGTGCTTTCTCTGAGCTACAGTCCTAACTACTGCTGCTGCTGTTTTCTGCTGCCTTATTATGTCTATAATGAAACCTGTCATTCATTTTGTGACTGCTGCATCAGTATCCACTTTAAAGAAAGCCCTTCAGAGCTATGATTTAGTCCTTGTCAGGACTTGGTATGTGCACCAGTACTGTGGGATGTAGCCTCTTTTTGCTTTTATCTATGATACAAACATCTGCATACAATGGAACAGGATTACTTCTGCTCTTAGTCTGAAGTATCGAATGAAAGGTGCTGAGCAGATCTGTGGGATTTGCACTGGCTAGGGATCAAAACTGTACTTGCAAGCAGTTTAATGGCATGATGACAGTATTCTTCCCATTTAAAACAACGGCTCATAATATGAAACAGATTTCTTCTAAATGTCTAGAAGGGAGGAAGGAGAAAAGCAGAATGCCTTATTTTTGAGTCACTGTATCCAACATCGGAGCCAGCAGAGTCTATACTCTGCTGCTTTTTGTTTTGGGTCAGTTTGCTCTTCAGAGCATGAGGGATGGTCTAGAGAGGGAAGATACTGGCTGAGCAGATGCAGAATATGTGGTCCAGGGGCTCAGTTCCAAGTGCAAAAATTATCATTTCTCAAATGCTCATTTCTGTGCTAATGCAACAGGCAGGACGGGGCGGGGCAGTTACATTTAGGTTTTTCCCTCTGAAGTCTGGACAGTGTCTCCATCTATGTGTTGCCCACAGAGTCTAGGCCCAGTACATTTGAAGCACACTGAAGTACAGAGCACCCCCAGGCTATGCTGCTACAGCAGCAGCAAATAAATTGGAGTGAGCACTGGAGAAGATGTCTGGCAGCCGTATGAATAGTTTGCAAAACTAGATGCAGGACTGGTGACTTGGGCTGAGGACAATTGTGTCAGAGTAATGCAGGTGCTAGAATTACAGGCCAGGCTTTTATCATGGTGCCCATAACCTGCACTTAGTGCTTTTTTTTGGTTACAAATAGGGTGAAGCTCCTCTCCCTGGTAAGTACTTCGCCCAATCATGAGCCAAAAAAAGACTGTCAGACTGGCCAATGCTGTACCCTGGGTCTGATTAAGCCAGCAGAAAAGTAGGCTTATTCATTTTTCTTGCCAGGCTTGTGGCTATACCACTTTAACCTTGATACAGGCATGGCAGGGGGTAGTGATAAACCTCCTTTAGTGCAGTCTGGGTATTAACTATATCGATGTATTCTTGCAAGACTGTGACTTTGATGCAGCTGAACTGATCTCAGTGTAGGACACTTGTTTCTCTGAACTTTGACCCTTTCTCCCTCAGCACCAAGCAACGCTGCTTATATGCAAAAGCTTTTCCCTTTTCCCAAAATCAAGAGTTATTTTTCCACTGAGTGATTTCTTGCTAACCCACTGATTGATTTCAGGTGTTCCTTTGTGTCACCACCAAACTATCTTATAGCAGCTTTGGGGGTGGCAAGCCATGTGAGTTCTTTTGCAGCTGTTTGTACATGTTTGGCTGTTGAAAACTCATGTGACAGTGTTCTAGTAAATGCCTTGGTTTCTGTTAACCAGTTCTTGAGATGCTGCAGCTCAGTGGAGTCAGTTAACTTTTTACGAGACTGTAATTTTCACTTTCAGGTTCTTGGATTTATTGCATTTCTCTGATGCAGTGAATAGTAGGGTGCTTGTTTAAATATAACTTTTCTTCTCGAGTTTTGAAACAGAAATAGTAATCTTAAATCTTTCTTTGTTGAAAGATTTTGTTGATTTCCTTGTGAATCCTTGGTAAAGAAAGGAACTACAAAATGCGGCAGTCTTTTAAAACTGTATAATGCTTCTGGCAGTGGTGCATCGGTATTTATGTAGGAATTATTTTACCAGAAGTACAGATAGGGGAGGAAGGGATACATGCTGTATTATTCCCTCACAGAAAAGAAAAATCAATCCATTCTCATAAATAATATACAAAAGTCTCAACAAGATCTAAATTCAATACAATTAAGATGTCACCAGGATTCTAGGCCTGACTAGCCAAAGAGCTGGCTGGTGAAAGGCTTTATCCAGTTCAATTGCTGGCAAAATCTGGATGGACCTGATCACCCTTACTATCCATCAGCGCTTTTGGAGAGAGGACAGTTACCTCTCTGGAGGGCTGAACAACCAGTAAGTCTCTGCAATGAGACATTTGTGGAAGGCAGAGGGTTGCTCCTACCTACTTACTCTCCAAGATTAAGCAAAATAGCCAGGTGGATGGGCTGTAGTGGTAGGTTTTCTATGTTCAGCTGAAGGAATGTCAGACTTGTATAAATACAGAAATTGCCTACTCTTATTCAAGAGTTGATGTTGTAGTGGTTAAATTAACAGTAAAAGGAGCTTAATGGACTAAGAGCTTTCGTGCTCAAATTAAGCAGGCCTTGTTTACTGGGGTTGGCAGTTTTTAACCTGCAAATCCAATGTTAATTGTCCCATTTTAGCTCTACCTTGCCACTTTTCCTCTTTATTTGCAAAGCAAGACAACTGAGTGACAGGTTGTTATGAAAAGGCCGTATACAATGACAATATATCTAATTTGGGGGGGATAACTGGCTAAATCAAGACAAATGGCAAAATGTTGAAATTTTGGTTTTTTTGGACTTCAGTGCCTTTTTTAGAAATTTCATTGATTGTTCCATAGCCTAGTCTCTGATGGTTGCTTTAGTTTCTGTCTTAATGTTGTAAAAACATAGGAATTTACATCTAGCAGTATAGGAAAAGTCAGTAGGTCCTAGGCTTTCTATCAAGTGTAGTTAGTTTAGTGTTGCTACTGGTTCTGAGACTAATTGCTTATGATGGCAAACTAGGAGCACATGGGCTCTTTATATGAGTATGCATGTTCAGGTGTTCCTCACTGAACCTTGAGTGCTAGTAGCTTTGCGAGGCTTAGTGGTTTGGTTTTTTTTATGATTGCTGAAGTAAGTCTGTTTCTATTGGTGCTGCTCCCTGAATGGTTAATATAGTGTTTATCAACAGAAGTTGTAATACAGCGAGTCAAAGTGACAGATCATTAATTTTCCAGGGCTAATTAAGAAAGAGACAGGGCTCTCTGCCTCTTGGGTGGTGAGGACAGTGGAAGAGCAGCTGGGCCATTAACAGCAGGCCTTACAGAACTGCATATTCCTATGAATTTGTCCTGCCTTTCTGAGCTCCACCTCAAGCCTGGTGTAAACTCCTACAAAGATGGACTTTAGCTCCCTCCCTGTCTCAGTATGTAGCAGCCTAGCCTCCTACTGTTGTGCACGTGTGCACGCACACACGTATACCAGAAAAGCCACCCAAACACACAACCTCAGCACTTTCCACCACCTTCACCTACCTTTCTTTAGCTTGCTCACAGGGCAGGGAGCAGCATATCCTATGGTTGGTTAAGAGCTAAGTAGATGCTGGCTGTTGCCTCCAAAATGCGAGGTGGACCATCCCAAACATATCTAAGTTGAGCTGTTTGTACTTTTTCCTCTGCGATTAGGTGGGTAGAGAAGAATAGAGTGGTTTCCTCTCTGTTCACAGCTGTGGGTCCTCTAAGGGCTGGAGGCAGTAGACAACTCCAGTATTTCAAGCTTTGTAGCAAACGGGGTTGGAATTGACCAACACATTGAAGCCTTCATGGCAGGAATAGGAGGCAGAAGAGGCAACACCATAACATGAACTTCATTTACTCAGAAAATCAAGGCAAAAAAAACAATGCAATGCAAAGTTCTGCTATGTGCATAAGCAACTGCCCAATTTAAAGCAAGGGAGCACTGAAATTTCCTGGCTGTCCCATGGAGCTGCAATTCTGCCGAAACTATATTTCTCTTCTAGCTGTTATTCTATCCTAGGCACTCTTTCTAAAGTAAGCTAACACTTCCCCCACCCAGCCCCCCCAAAAAAGGCAAACAAACTCTGCCTTATAGTTTTCTAGAACTGACTATGTTGCAGGTGGTTTAATACCAAGTGTCCTTTTGTTTAGAAATTAAGGCCTCTTCCTTATGGCTAGGCAGACAGATCTGTGAATAATGGACTTTTTTCCCCGATACTAGAAACTTTTTTTAAAGCTATTCAGAGAGACCTTGGCAAATATTTCTCTGTCAGGCAGTAATTGAATAAAGTCCCAAGTTACTTGATGCTGTCCCTCCCTTTTCCCCTGAGTTTATTGTATGCTTTGCTTTTTGCCTATAAATACCACAGAGATAGCTAGACAGGGAAACCTTTTTTGAGAGGTGATATTGTCATCTGGCAGCTACCCAGTAAGGGCCTATTGGCTGTAAGTCAGTGCTGAGCTTTCCTGAGAGAAGGAAAGTCTAATGTTAGTTAAAAAAACAAACAAACAAACAACAACAACAAAAAAAAAAAACCCGACAACAAAAAACCTAAAACCTCACTGTCTTGTGTTTGCTGTTTAAAGGGAAAGGAACAGAGAATGTTTTATCTTCCTGTATAAGCAGACACGGACAGACTTTAATGCTGCAGCTGAAAGCACTTCCTAATCCCTTTTATCACTGGGGATTCTGTAGAGCTGTGGATGGTACTCAGTGGCAGATAGACAAGAGCCAAGCAAACTGGCAGCCGAAGTGCCAAGAGCAGTTCTCGGTGTTTGCCTGTGCAGTGAGCTCCACGTGCTGGGAGTAGACACTTCTCAGTACTCTGCATCTGCTTGACTCTGAGCCTGCATCTTCCTTGACTCTGTGCTTCAGCTGCAACGCTGCAGTTAAAACGGGTAGGCCAGAGAGGTTTGTGATGTTCACTTGTAGCTACAAGATGTCTTTCATGAGATTGTAACTGCTATATGAGCTGCCATCCCTTTCTCCCATCTATCTCATTTTTTGACCATTCATACTCTGATGCCTACATCTTGAACACAGCAGTGAGATTTACCCCAGTTTCTCTTACACTGTATTTTCCCAAGATATTTCTGGTTTGCACCAGGATGAAGAGGATCAGAACTCACGTGAGCCGGGAGAAGGAAATAATAGACTGGGATGAGAAGTGTCTGGAAAAAGGAAAGCTCATCTTCATATCCAGAAGGTAAACAATTCTGGGGGATGGTCTGGGCTGCCACTTGGTGTTTGAGCTAGAAGTTTATGGTGGCAGTGTAACTGAAGGGCACTTACAGTGTTGATGGATATCTGGTGCTCATGGCCTTAACAGTAAGGAATATATTCAGCAGAGGCTTTGTTAACATAAAAATACAGAGTTTTTCATGACTTTGAAGTTAAATCATTGCTGCTGCTTCCTCCTTTCTGGTTAATATCACCAGAATTCCCTAGGAAATGTTTCCTGAGGAGGGACTATCCGCTTTCTGTTTCTACTAATTGCTTTCATTCTGTGAAATGGGCAGGTACTTACTTGCTCAACTGAAGCATTTGGAAACACTGAAGTTGTATCTGATTCATCAGAAGGCAAAATCTGCTTTTCTTAATTGGTGTTAGGTAATAAAGTGTGACTGTATAGGCCTTATAACCAAATCCCCGGTCCATGATAAGCAAATATGGCAAGGCCAGGGAGTACTTGGAATTTTAGACAGGCTTTTCCTGGAGTGATAAGGAAGTAGATTTCTTTGTTAACGCTGATACAGCTCAGGGTTTTCTAATGGTGTGTAATGCTGCAAGGACAATGCTGAGACACGCAGTTACATTTAGTAATACAAAGCCCTGGCTGTTAAATGGAAATTGTAAGCTAGGACCAACACTTGATTATAATAAGGAAAGGAACAAAAATAAGACATGTTTTCTGTAACTTCCCAGCAAGTCAGTAAAATGAAGCCCATAACAGAGAAATTTTCCTTTGTGTAAAGCAATGCAAAGACAGGAGCATTCCCTTGAGTGTTACTGCAATCCCTGTCCAGAGAGAGAGATTTACCTCCTCACTTTTGAGGCTGAGGTCAGTATAAGCATTGACTGGGGGAGGAGAAATTTTCCTGTTCTTCACAAAATAAAGTGCTCTGTGTATGTTACAGTCTCCCTCAGGATCCTCCTGGCTCTGATAAGCTTCTGTGTCTCTTGGGGGATGAATCTTCCTCCCAGTGTGTGAGCATTCCCTGGGCTCTGACTGCCCTTTAAAGGCCACACAGATGTTCACAAGTTATAATTGTACTTCCAGATGTAATTCAGAGGTGGGGAGAAAAGGGGATGAATTTTGAGGCAGGGGCTGATTTTCTTCTATTTTTTTCTGTTTATTTTGGAGAGTGGAAGTAAGCCAACAGAAATCACAGGGAATAATGCAAAGGATGTTTCTCAAATTGCTTTTTAGGAGGGAGAGAAACTGTGCCAGAATGAATGACTGCTGTAGAGTAGAGCACATGAGCCAGTTCAGCCTATGTAAAATAGGAGGTATGTATATGCGCACATCTCTCTTTTTTCAACAAAGCATTTTAGCAAAACCTGACTAGAGGGAAGGTTTTGCACAAAGACAGACAGCAGCAAGAAGTCAGAGGATGGTAGGATGGGGCAGAACAATCAGGAGACAAAGAAGCTCAGAACGGTACTGAGAAAGACTCTGAGAGGATTTCCCATAACTTCTCAAAGAAAGTTTACCTGCATCATCCAGCATACCACAGCCTGGCTGAGCTCTCTCCTGTGCAGTGAAATGTCCATGAGGAAACAGTAACCAAATACTATCTCAATGAATTTAAGTTTGAAGTATGTCCTCAGACCAGTATTTTGGGGATAAATAATGAATATTCAAGTCTAGAGTCTGTGAGAGGTGTGACAACATCCCTTGGAGAAGATCCTATAAAACTCTTTGTATGTATTTGCAGTCTATGTAAGCGTATTCTTCTCCACAGATGTGTAAGGTTTCTCTAGTGTCCGAAGAGCTGAATAGCTTTGGTTCAGGCAAGCACAGAGTATAAAGTTGTCAGTTGAAACTGTTAAAAAATTATTTTACTCTTGACTAGGACAGTTTTACTCTCCTTAGCCTTCTTTGCTTAGTAGATTCACTGAAAAAAAAAAAAAAATCAGCCTACTTCTAATAATCTCTTGAGGAGAAACTGGTGGATATAAACTACTATGCAAAGTCAGTGGGCAACTTGTTGCAGACTGTATCTTGTTGTAAACTTGATATTCTATGTTGCATTACCAGGAAGGAACCTTTTAGCATGGCAGCAGAGGTCTAGCTGCTTCTGTTAAAGTCCACAGAAAATTTCCCATCTGGCTTTAATTTCGATTATGCTGAACACTGTTACGGTATCAGAGGGAAGTCCTGAGAAATCAACAGGAGTTACTTCCTCCTGACTTAGTTGGAGCTACAGATTCTTGTTAAAGAAATCAGTGAAACTGTGTAGTTCACACTAAGCTAAGGTTTATGTGGTTTGAAATGTTCTGTGCTGACCATAGAGCCTCACCACACAGCTGAACGCTGTAGAGCCTGCCCTGATGTCTGGGTTCCTCACACCGCACAGTAAATTAGTGCAGGCTCGTGAGGCTGTTTCTCTACTGCACAGTAGCTTGATGGTCCTCTGACTGCTATCTTTTATACTATGGCTAGTCTATTAACTTGCCTCAAAACCAGTCACTCTGTGGCCATCCTTCTGCATTTAGTCCCTTATTAAGTCATCGATTAAAAAACTAGGAGACTGTTCAGACAATTGCAAAAAGCCTTTGTTAATAAAGTGCTGATTGTGCAGCACTTTGATCAGAAAGTGTCCCAAAGATACGAGTAGGTGCTGCGCCCTTAGCCAGCTGCTGCCTAACAGCTTCCTGCTGCTGCACACAGATCCCTGCTGTAAGGGATCTCTCCATTCCCAAGGACCTATTTTTGTTGCAGAGATATTTCCACATTAAAGATATTAGCAGCTGGATGAAATTCCCCTGGAAACTAGCTTGAACTTGTTATCCAAATTTTTCTAGATATCTTTCAGATATCCCTATTTGCATATTTTTGGCTTCTAAGCCTGGGCAGCATTCATATGTATTTTAAATCAAGTTCATTCTAAAGGTGATTACATTTTTTGGCTCTGTAAGCATTTGTTGGGAGTAGAACAGTTTTCTGAGAAGCTTGTAGAAAGTTTGGCACCACTGTACGTATAATCAGGATATAAAACACTTCATGGTCTAATTATGGTGTGTATCAACACTTACACACATCTATTCTGCTGGGATTGTGCTGTGTAGGCATTACTGTCCTGATTAAATACTGCCCAGATCAGACTATTTGCAGGTGTTTTATCTTGGAGGTAGCAGCGTTATGTCATATTTATCCTGATACATTACAGAGCAAGCTATGCTACCAGGCTGTGCCATGGATGCTATAGAACAGACTAGAGAAGCAGAGTGGGTGTGATACAGCTCTTAGGATCCAAAGCTAAAATTCTGCACCAAGGAAGATCAGGGAGAGGAAAAGCCATGTGAAAGCTTGGGGGTTTAAAAAAAAATTTAAAAAATCATTGTAAGACAGACAATAAACTGTTGCTGAAAAAAACTACTGTGTGTAACCACCCCATGGTGCAGGATGCCCAGCAATATGAGATTGAAAGTAATGGCAGAAGATTACTTCTGTTACCAAAACAAATCCAAAGTTTCATTGACTAATAGTTGACAGAAATATTAACTGTACCATACAAAAATATTTGGGCTGTATCAGTGCCGGAAACATTTATTAAATAGCAGTTATCTGGGAAACTAAAGCAGTCCGTGATGAATTGGTTCTTCACAGTATCTCCATTTTTCTCTGGTAAGAGAGAACTCTACTTATAGCAAATCTGGATGGGAGCACTCTCAGTGCTTTCTGGTAGATTCACCTTTACTGACTTTCTCAAAGTAATGTTGTCTCAGGCAAACTTTTTTCATTCTTAACATCGTTCTTACTATTTTGCAGTTTATCATATCACTGAAAGGAGTTCTCATCACCCTGGGAAGAAGAAATTTCACTGCAATTCAGACATCTTTATGACATATTAGTGTACCATGGATTCAGACATGCCATGTCCTACCAACCCAAGAAACTTCAACCAGTAAGTGTGTTTCTTGTTAAATATTGCACCCTAAGTGGTGTGAAACACACTTAGGTGTTTCATTGGGGTGTTTTTATGTCTCCTGAGTGTCTACTGGATGCTGCCTTCTTGTTAAATCAGTTGCCTTACTGAATTCTGCCTTCATCCACTTCTAATGGAAGTCACACAACATAGGAGTTTCTGGTTGTAAAGTCTGTTGCACTGAGAATTAAAAAATCTGCTAGTGCCAGCCATGGCAGATTTTCTGTTCTTTGTCTTTAGGATGGTTTGATGCTGTGCTATATGGAAAGGTTATTGTTGTGGTTGACAAAGTAAATATGTATACAAATAAGATGTTTACAGGTGACTGAGAAATTAGTTTCAGTTTCTATTACTTTGTGCTTTTGGATTCTGCCCTTGCCGTGAATGAAGTGTTTAATACTGAATTGAAAACAGAGCTCAAATTGCTATTCTTTTGTTTATGGACTGCCACTTGTACTTGAAAATTAGCTTTTTATGTTTATGAAGATATTGTTCCATTACCTGGTTCCAACTTAGACAGAAATTTGTTCAGACTTGATGGACTTCAATGAAAGAATTCTTTTCTTAGGATACATTCAAATGCAGCTGTTAGTTAGGCTTACAACTGCTGATAGGCAGTAGGCATAGGAATGTTTGTGCTAGTGTTACTTACTGGCTGATATTGTTATCACAGAATCAGACTGGTTGAGGTTGGAGGTCATCTGGTCCAAGCCACCTGCTCAAGCAGGGCCACTTAGAGCCAGTTGCCCAAGACCATGTCCAGGTGGCTTTTGAATATCTCCAAGGATGGAGACTTCACAGTCTCTCTGGACAACCTGTGCCAGTTCTCAGTCACCCTCGCAGCGAAGAAGGGTTTCCTGATGTTCAGAGGGAACTCTCTCTGTTCCGGTTTGTGCCCATCACCTCTGGTCTTGTCTCTGGGCTCCACTGAGAAGAGCATGGCTCTGTCATCTTTGCATCATTAGTGAAGCTGTTAAACAGGACTGGGCCCAGTCATAGTATCATAAAATCATCTATGTTGGAAGGGCTCTTTGAGATTATTGAGTCCAACCATTAACCTAACACCACCAAAGCCATTGCTATTAATGCCTGGGGTACATCACTAGTTTCTGGCCTCCAAAAACGGTTGTGGTTTTATGGCTGTATCCTCAAACTGAGAAACCGAAGACTCAAATTGTTTAGAAATCTATGGGAATCAGCACGCCCTTGACTGGCTTTCCTGCAGGAGGCAGCATTTTTCTCCTCCCAGTGCAGCAGCAGGCAAGGTATTTTGTGTCTTGAGCTTTTGTGCGTTCGCAGTCACTGCTGACCTTTGATGCCTGCCACGGTGCCACCTGCACAGCCACAGTGCACTCCTTCACCCTGGTGTCTTCATCTTCCACTTCCCCTTTCCCCACTGCTTGCTCATCACATCAGAGAGCTTCTACCTCAGTCAAATATTAGTAGGAAGACCATATTTCTATTAAAATCATTGTTGGTTTTTAAGAAGTGCTTGAAGGAACCATAGAAAATTCTGATCGCTTCTCGGAAATGAGACTGAATTACAGAAATGCCTTCAGTGGAATCGTTTACGATGTGCTGCAGCATCAGTGCAGCCACCGTGGCCATGCAGGGGATGTAAGAGGAGAGCATTGCATAGCTGTGGGAACACCATGCTGTATCGACTTGCACCACACAAAACAAGCAGTTTTACAAGGCTCCATGCTATAGTTTACTTTATAGCAGCTCAAATGTGTAACCCGAAACATTTATTTTACGAATTAAACTTTCTGAGGGAAAGGACAAGAATTCACTGGAGAACTTTTTTAACATTCTGCTCGCAAAAGCTAATAAGTTTTTTGCATCTAAGGTTAGGTTATATAGTGATGTGTAGAAAAACAGGAGATGTGGTGACACACTGCTGTCCCAAGTTAAATAATTTTGCTTGAAAGTAAACTGAAAAGAAAGATTTTTCACTTTCATACAACTGTTATACAATGCCATGCTTCCATGCAAGGGCTTCACCTGGAAAAAACTTACCTTCCAGCTGGAAAGTTAAAGCAGCATGGTTCCAAAGAGATAGGGGAAGATAACCAGAGGGAGGTCAGCTTAACAAGTCTGGGCACCAGGCAAATGCTAGTGATACCAGAAGAAGGGGTGTGTTAAGGACTATTGAACATAAGGACCCTGAGGTTTCTGTTACGGTCCTAACCACCAACTCTAGCTTTTGGAAGGATCGCTTTCTTTTTTAGTGTCTTATGTACCTGGCCAGGAGTATTGACCTTCACAATGGCCTCTTCAGGCACAAACCAGCAATTACCTGAAGCAATGGACTGATGGGACAGCAAAAATATGCTTCGCATGAGCAAGAGTATGTCTGTGTGTGCAAGAGAGAGGGGGCCCTTCTCTGGCTTCTGGAGGGAGAAGCGGTGCTGGCAGTGGGCAGACCCAGCAGTGAGGAGGACGGTGAGGGTCAAAGGAAGCACAACACATAAGTGCTTTCAGAAGGTGTGTCAGCCACCTGAGTAGGCTGTGCATTGAAACACATCTTGGAACCAGAACCTGAAATGGACAAAAGGAGGAATATGGGTAGAAGGCTAAATTTATTACACCCAATATATTTTTTGTGTATATTTTTTTGTACATGTTGTAGTTTCGGCTGGGCCAGCCACTAAATGAATGACAGATGCTCCCTCCCTTCCCAGAAGAGAAGGGAGAGAGTAAGAGAGACATTTATGGGTTGAAATGAAAACTAAAACTGCTTCAATGAAATATTAATAATAAAAAGAAAAAATGGTAATATTAGTAAGAAAATAATGACATATAAACAATATCTATAAAACTAGTATCGAGCTCCCAGGATGACAGTCATGGCACATGGGATGACAGCAGGCACTGGGAAAGTCCCAGGCTGGACTCAGAGACCGACAGGAGCTGAACGCAGGAACTGGATTCAGGAACACACAGATCAGGATCAAAGGCAGATGAACAGAGTCCTTCTCAGACTCCAGCCAGTGAAGAAAGAGCCTGACCCCTGTGATCCCTCAGCTTTTATACTGAACATGATAGTGAGGGGTCTGGAGAGTAAGTCTTATGAGGAGAGGCTGAGGGAGCTGGGGTTATTCAGTCTGGGGAAGAGGAGACTGAGGGGAGACCTTATCACTCTCTATAACTACCTGAAGGGGGGGTGTAGAGAGGTGGGGGTCGGTCTCGTCTCCCAGGTCACAGGCAATAGGACGAGAGGAAACGGCCTCAAGTTGCACCAGGGGAGGTTTAGATTGGATATTAGGAAAAATTTATTCACGGAAAGGGTTATCCAGCATTGGAATAGGCTGCCCAGGGAAGTGGTTGAGGCATCATCCCTGGAGGTGTTCAAAAGACAGGTTGACATGGTCCTCAGGAATATGGTTTAGTGGTGTGTTGTGGTTTTTTGGGGTTTTTTTTGTTGTTGTTTGTTTATTTTGTGGTTTTGTTGTTGTTGTTGCTGTGTTTTTTTTTGGAGTTAGGTTGATGGTTGGACTAGATGATCTTTAAGGTCCCTTCCAACCTATGATTCTATGATGATGATGATGATGATGATGATGCCTCACTTTCTCTCAAGCTGTCTGATGATGCTACACTAAGCACATGGTTGGTACTGGGAAGACGAAGGGCGGAAGCGGGCAAGGCTGGGCACGCAGGCAGGGGGGAACCTTTCCAGGGGCAGGAAACTGGCTCTTGATGGTCCCCTCAGTTTCCAGGGAAGACTGAGCCTCAGAATTTTTCTGAAGTGCTACCAGATCCCTGCCTATGATCAGATGTGGTACTTGATGGGATTATTAGAGGATTTGATTAGCAGGTGCTAGCTCCAATGCTGAAAAGAGATATATTAATTCAAAATATAGAATACTTATTTGGATTTTATTGGTATTTACACAGCACTTTTCCAAGACATTTAGATATGGCTGCAGTGACTAGTGGTTTATTGTGGTTATGTGTAGGATGAGCCATGATGTCTGTGTGTCGGTGTCAGAAGTTACTGATGGCCTATGACTGAGCCTTCAACCCCCAGACACAGGGGGTATGTGACAGCTTAATTGAGAAACTAAACATGCTGGCAGAGATGAATGGTGAACGGTGAGCAGAAGCTTTGAATAAAAAGGGTGAACCAAGGACAAATCTGGGGCTTTAATTGTGAGTTACCTCTGTGATTGGTAGAGTGAAGGGTCTTGAGGAACAAATGATGAACCAATCTGATGATTCATCAAATTACTGACTGGTCTGGAGTGTCTTTGGCTTGCAATACAGCAGTAACTTGGGATGTAGTGAGAAACAGTGCTTTAGTCACCTCCCTACTGCCCTTCCTTCAGCAGAAAAAAGTCAATGTCAGTCTTGTTAAGAGAAGCTGTGGAGCATGAGTGACAGGTTAAACAAAGATTACACTGCAAGTCCTTTGATTTTTGTGCTGTTTCTCTCAAAAACCTAGCTGCAGACGGAGGTTAGAGCAAAAAACTTGCTCCTGAAGAATCTAGCTGTGCAAGGGCTGCAGGCCCCCTCCCATCGTGTGACAAGAGGCCAGCACTGACTCAGCCCCTCTCCTGAGAGCTGGGATTGTTTGTGAGGAGAAATGTGTCCAGCCAGCGCCTAGCCTGGCTGCTCCCATCTGGGAACCTCATCCGAGCACGAATGCTGGAGCTATATTGCTCTTCCAGGCCTGTGAGTTAGATTTATGGCTGCTCTGATCTGCTTGAATTCACTGGAGTTATTCAAGGACAAGCATGACAGCAGTATAGCCAGCAGAGCTGGAACATCAGGTTTGAGGATGGGGGAATAGGGAGGTGTGGGAAGGAGGAGGGAAGGTTGGGAAGGAGCGTCTTTCCTCCATATTATCAGGTAGATAGTGACCCCTCTCCCAGAAACAGTGGATCAAAGACTGCTAGGATTAATGAAGCTTCTTTTCCTCTACACTTCACAAGTTAAAGCTTTAATTTTGAGAAGTGTACACATAATGCTATGAGTGA